GTCCCGAGTGCTTTGTCCTGCGCCCTGCCTGCATTTTACTGTTCTTTCTGCCTGGAAACTGAGAAACGTCCATGGCGTCCAAAAAGTGTCCCTTTATGTCAAAAGCGGTTTTAGACCGGCTAGAGAACAGCGATAGTAAATCAGAACCACTTGCAGAATTGAGTGATAATGATTCGTGGGGGAAATTCATCATCAAACAGTGAAAACGATTTTGCGACTTTGCTCAGTGATGTGCGAACTTGGCGCTATATTTCAAATTTCAGTGTTTTTGGTTTGATTATATTATTGAATTAAATGTATTATTATTATATTATTATTTTTTATGATTATTTATTAAATTATAATTTATTATTTCGTGTTTCAAATTTTATCATATCCGGACAGTTTACTAGACTCTTGTTCGGACAGATTTCAGGGAGTTATTCCTAAAAATTACAGCCTACAATAAAAAAAAACATATTTCCATGCAAAAAAATGTACCGCTTTCAGCACCAAAAATCTGAAATAATCATACCGCTAGTGAGGTTAAATAATTAAAAAAAAAAAAAAAAAAAAATGTAAATGTTACAAGATAGCACCAAACAATACTTTTCTTTTCTTTTATATTACAGGTAAACTATGACCACTTTACTGCTAGTGTTCGTGTGTTTGCGTGTGATCGCTGCAGCAATATCTGTGGAAGTTTCAGGTGAGCTTTAAATTAAATAGATTTCATCTCCTCTATAATCCTATTTATTTACGTAGTATATAATCTTACTTATGAAGGAGTTGTAAGTTATCATGTGGTAAAGATTTTACAGAGGCTGATTATACTTGCCACCTCTTTGTCCCTTCATTTATTATTTCAGCATTTAACATTGTGATCCTTACAGTTGAACTCCAGGCAGAAATAAAAAAAAAAAAAACAAAGAAAATAATTGTGTACTCGTAAAAAATGTCAATAAATGCATGGTGAATGCAGCTAGTGTATTTTCCGAATATCTCCTGATATTCCCTGGACAGCAGAAACCAGACTGGGAGAGGGAGGGGCAGCGCAAACAAATGCTACTACATGCATATGTGTTATTGAAGGACATGTTGACATGAGGAGAGACCAGAGTGAGTGATGAGGTTATTAGTCTAGTCTAGTTCAACATTTCTCAACCTTTTCAACAGAGAGGAACCCGTGAAATGGCTTTCTGGTCTCAGGCAACACCTGCTAAAAATGACTATATCTACAGCTCATGATACATTAGTGTGATGGTCATTGGGAAGAATACTCCTTCCACTTGTAGTCATTTGGAATGGATCAATGGGTCAGTGGGAACTTATCTCAGAGGCAGAAATTGCTCATTGCATTGAACTCCGAGCAGAAATAAAAAAAAAATAAGAAAATATTGTGTACTCGTAAAAAAAATGTCAGTAAATGCATTGTGAATGCAGCTAGTGTATTTTCCGAATATCTCCTGATATTTCCTGGACAGCAGAAACCAGACTGCGAGAGGGAGGGGCAGCGCAAACAAATGCGACTACATGCACATGTGTTAATTGAAGGACATGTTGACATGAGGAGAGACCAGAGTGAGGGATGAGGTTATTAGTCTAGTCTAGTTCAACATTTCTCAAACTTTTCAACAGAGAGAAACCCATGAAATGGCTTTCTGGTCTCAGGCAACACCTGCTAAAAATGACTATGTCTACAGCTCATAATACATTAGTGTGATGGTCATTGGGAAGAATACTCCTTCCACTTGTAGTCATTTGGAATGGATCAATGGGTCAGTGGGAACTTATCTGAGAGGCAGAAATTGCTCATTGCACAAGGAACCCCTGGCAACCTCTGGAGGAACCTTAGGATTCCACGGAACCCTGGTTGAGAAACCCTGGTCTAGTTGAAGGACCTGGGGAGGTGATCTAGCTTTATTGCTTAACTGCAGTTTAGAAAAATGTCACCAACCTGGATTGGCTGTCTGACAGGGCTGCTTAAAATTGTAGCTGCTGACTTTTTAAAATACAGACACTTACCTGTCCCTCGGTCCAGCGCCATCCTCACCACTGCTGCTTTAACCGGCCGTCTTTCTCCCTGGTGCCGGCATCTTCAGTGTGGGCACCTGGCTGTGACAGCTTGCAGCTTCACAGCTAGGTGCCCACTGCGCTTACGTAAGAAGCGCTGCGCAAAGGTGCGAATCCTTAATGGGGAGCGGGGGGACAAAGGCTTAAAGTGGAACTTCCCCTTTTGGGTGGAGCTTCGCTTTAAATCTCAGGACTGGCTGGACAAAAATGCAAGCCCTTTGGCCAGTACATCAGCTCCCATATACAGTATGTATCAGGGGCGGACTGACCATTTGGAAACTCGGGCACTGCCCGAGGGCCCGGGGTCAGTAGGGGGCCCCATGAGATGCCCCTGGTACATTTTTCATAGGCTTTTTTGAGTTTGGGCAAGGACACAGGGGCCCCATTATCCCCTATTGCCCGGGGGCCCCATGAGTTGTCAGTCCGCCCCTGGTATGTATAGAACGGTGTAGGCTCTACAGCAGTTATTCTGCTCCTGGCTTTACTATCTATATGCAGAATAGGAATTTGGACCTTCCAGGACACACCAGCTAGGCAGCAAAGCCAGACTCAGGAAGCCTTAAAAAAAACTTGGCAGCGGCAGCTCTCATATTTCTATCTCTATGAGTTTACTGTAACTAATTCATCCAATTTAATGAGATCCTGCTAATTGCGCCTGGCCCCAACAGGATTTAAGGTGGTATTTAAAAATGGTTAACACTTCCGCCTGGCAGTAATAGGGCCGTTGGTTCGAATCCCAGCCACAGCACCACCTGCCTGGAGTTTTCATGTTCTCCCTGTGCCTGCGTGGGTTTCCTCCGGGTACTCCGGTTTCCTCTCACACTCCAAAGACATGCTGGTAGGTTAATTGGATCCTGTCTAAATTGGCCCCAATATGTGTATGTATGGATGTGAGTTAGGGACCTTAGATTGTACACCCCATGAGGGTTAGGGACTGATGTGAATGTACAATATATATGTGTAAAGTGCTGCGTAAATTGACCGCGCTATATAAGTACCTGAAATAAATAAATAAAATAAATAAATTTAATTTAATATTCAAAAAATTACTAAGAAACAGGGGGTTTTATGACAGAAGACACCTTACTGGTCTCTTCTGTTGTAAATGCTTTCCTCTACCTATCAGCTGTCATGTACACTGAGCCGTGCATGCGCATTGCGTACATGTACGGCACCTGATCTGTGCTCTGATGATGTGACTCCCACGTTGAAGTGATATCATTGTGGCCCAGCCACTCAAGTAAACGGACCTGGAAGGAAGACTGGCAGAAGATAGACGCACCCGGGTTCAGCAGGAGTGGTTATAGCTCAGTGCTGGAGGGTACACAGTTTGACAGTTAAGTCTGTCACAATGTGCTAATATGTGGTGCATGCTATGGCATAATGCTATGTATTATGGCATAAAACACCCAGGGGCAGATTAAAAAAAAATATTAATACTGTTTTAATAGAAACCAATTTTTGACAAGCTCAAGACTGTATCATCAAGACTTGACATGTGCAGGCTGAAAATATTAGTTTTGTGTTCGGATGCACTCATTAATGCACCTATTCATTTTCGGAATTCGTTTCATATCTTCTGCATTCTCCTCAACGAATGGGGGTTCTTTGGGGAAAGAGGGCTCCCCCCCTTCAAATGACCTTTTCGCTTGGGGACATGAGCCTCTTCTCCACAACCCTTGGCGGTGGCTGTGGGGGTCTGCAGGTGGGGCTTATCAGATCCTACCCTCCCCCCATGTGAATAAGTGTGTAGTACCCCCCACTCATTCACCAAAAAAAGTGTCAAAAATTTAAAAAAAAAAAACATATACTGTTTTTTAAAAAAATTCAAATAAATGCCCCCCAAAATAGATCCACAATGAACGCTGACCCACACAGAAAAAAAAAATGTTGCCCATTCAAAGGGTCTGGTATGAATTGGGGGGGGTGGGCACCCACACTGGTTTCTAATTTTTTTTTAAACTAACAAACCAATAACTCATCTGTTTCATTGGGATTCCCTGCTGTCAGCAGAATGTAAACCAAAGAAGTGCCAACGATGTGGCAGCCACCCATTCCTTAACGACTGGCTCTTCTCAATGAATCTGAATGATCTGAAATTTTGTTATAACTTTTTCGGATTCATTAACATTCGTTACTATGACAAACAATTTGGATACATCCAAGTCTCTGAAAATGACATTTTTGTCTGAAAAACAAATCTCAATGAACCGAATTGCACATGTCTAATGAAGACATTGATGGGAGGGGATCATGCCATGGCCAAGTAGTATAAAAGTTATGCCTCTTAGCAGCAGAACATGATAGGCTAGATCAACATATGATTAGTTGGGCCTCTTGAACTATATTCATTGACTCGAATGTCATCTTCATGAATACAGCTCCTTGTCATCTCGCCCATGGTGGGTAGAGGAGATGACAATCCCTAACTCCTCCTTTAGAACTGGTTCATTATCTTATATTGACCCTTGGTGAGATATTTTTATAGGAACATTTAACTTGCAGATACTAACCAACAGCTAAGAATTTTGTAGATGTCATTGATGTCTATGTTCCCTTATACTGCCTATGTTTTTTTATTATCATAGAGTCCTCTGAAGGGTAATCTCCAGTATAGATCATTCTGTGACTGTACAGCTTTTGTACTTCTTGCCTTGTTGTATCACTTTGAAGTTCAATAAAGAAAGAATGAATTTATAAAAGGCATCCCTCACTGCTGTCATCATTAAACTTCCTTTGGGGAAAGTAAGGCAAATCATGATTTGTCAGTAGACTAGAAATGTCAGATAAGTTTCTATGACCTTACCACTTTAGTGAGACTAGTCATAAGCCTGTCCATAAATCTGGGCCCAAGCCTTCAAAGACTATATTTGTGCAGTTGCAGTTAAAAAGAACTCCCAGAATATTAACTTTACCAAAAAATTTATGTTTTTGTCTTTCTTGGATTTTCAGATCATGCTAACACACTGAGCGTGAGCATTCCCGAAGAGGCTCCTCTGAATGTTCTGCTTGGACACTCAGTCACCATCCCCTGTTACTTCATCAATGCTGTGGAACATTTGACCGTGGCCCCCTCAACAGCACCGTTATCCCCTAGGATCAAATGGAGCAGACATAACAAAGTACGTGAAACAGTCTTACTGGTGGCCGCTGATGGCGAACTCCGTGTCAATGAAGCCTACAAAGGACGTATTTCTTTACCAAACTATCCTCTCATCCCTTCTGATGTCAGCCTTGAAATTGTAAACCTGTTGTCCAGCGATGCAGGTACCTACCGCTGTGAAATAATGCATGGGATCGAAGACAGCCAAGATACAGTAAAACTCAACGTAAAAGGTAATGTGAACTTCCTCACTATTAATCCTTACTTGATTATACTAAAAGTCAGTTTTTTTAGGATTATACTTAATGAAAAATGGAGGTGCCCATAGCTTCAGTCAAAATTACAAAGTAAAATTTTACCAAATATACTTTTTATAGGGTACAGTGCCAAAATAAAATGTGAAAACAATCAACAAGTGGAAAAAAAGAGAGATCACAAAAAGTTATTCACCATGAAATGCAAGCAAATATGTGTAGCACTACCCCCGTAGGAGCCACCGGTATTTTGCACAGTCTTTCCCCTAAATCTTCACCCAAAGACACAGTATTTCCTATAGCCGGGTGCACACAACATCTGCTTGTTACTCCAACGATCAGTCTAAGGGTTGTAGTTTTTGTTGGTTTTATTTTGTTTTAGAACTGGGATAGGGAAGGAGTATTGTGGGACACTCCGAACTGAACTATCTACAATGGAAGACAGCTTTCTCGAAAATGGATCTGTGGGTTTCCGTAGTAGAACTGTGTAGTAGATTGTAGAAGGGCACCAATCCCTATAACTGGCTGGAGTTGCATCCATTTTCATACTGCTCATCTGCATGGTTCATACTATCCACCCAGAATCTTCCTTGGTTACCTGGATTTAGATGAACCTTCACCCACAAGCAGCAGCACTGTGTGTCACACAGGATGAACTAGCTAAACAATTGTACCTCTTCTGTTAAGGAGAGAGAGAGAGAGAGAGAGAGAGAGAGAGAGAGAGAGAGAGACTAAATTTGCCCGACAATCTCCTGATAAGCAGAAGACCATATTACACTATGTTCAGCTATCTACATCCTAGCACGGCATCCAGGAGGGTGCTACATGGGTAAGAAACTGTCCCTTTAAGAGTCATATAATGTAATGTAATAAAGTCCACTAATTAAATCCAGGTGTCTGTGTATTTTTTTCTACCAAATAAAGGATAATGACACCACTGTGTTATGCATCCACCATCAATGCACACTCGCGGACTCCCAAGTTGCATGTATGTAAGCAGCAATCAAAGCATATAAAGCTTAAAGCCAACAACCTCTGTAGGACTTCCTAAGTTATAGGAGCAGAGCAAACCTCCTTTTTAGAAAACCATTCACACTTAAACAGAGTGATTCCCAAGTAAGATGGCTACCAGTCACGGAAACAGAAGCGGCGGCGGCAAGACATCAGCAAGTAGCACTGCCCCAACACGTCTTGTGCATTAGCACGTCTTCAGCGGACACTATATTACTACTACTACACTGGTAGTGCCCCCTGAAAATGTGCTATTGCACGAAACATGTTGGGGCAGAGCTGTATGCTGACTTCTTGCAGCCACTTCCGTTTCCAGGACTGGTGGCCATTTTACTTGGGAGTCGCTCTGTTTAAGTGAGGATGGCTGTCTAAAGAGGAGGTTCTCTCTGCTCCTGTGTTCTCCTACTAATGGTTAGATGATAGCTAGCTAACAAAACTGATGGAAGCAGTGTTGTGTTTTATTCCAAAACTAAATTTACTTCTTTGAATAATTCTGTAAAGCTGTAATACAATCACATAAACTAAAATCACAAAATGCTTGTATACACGTCTCTCCCAAATGCATACAATGAACACATTTCTTACAAACAGCTACCTATAAATTACATTGAATATATTGAAATGTGATATACCTATGTATGTGACTTTAATAAACACAAAGAAAGCACTTACACGCATATGTGTATCAAAGGGAGAATGCTCTTCTAGAAGCTGAAAAGCCTGCAGTGGTTTATGGGAAATCTTTATTCTTAACAAGCATGGGACACTTCCTGTTCTTGATGAAGGGAATAATAAAAGCAGGTGCAATTGCAGGGAACACCCAATAGATGGCTCCCTACTCAACACAATTATGTGAATATACAGAACAACTCCTATAACTGAGGTAGGTCATTGGCTTTAAGCTTTACATGCGTTGTTTGCTGCTTAAATACATGCAGCTTAGGAGTCAGTGAGTGTGCCTTGATGGTGGCTGGATAATTCAATGGTGTCATTGTTATTTATTTGGTGGAAGAAATACTCAGACACATGAATATGACATTTGCTCTTAAAGGAACAGTTTCTTACATAGTCATGTGAGTTTCATGGTGAATGAATTTTTTTTGTGATTTTTTTTTTCTTATCATATGTTGATTGTTTTCACATTATATTTTGGTGCTGCACCTCAGAAAAAGTATATTATTTGAGAGGTTTATGCATATTCACCTTCATTGCTAGCTGCCAACATTATTCACTCTAGCGCTGACGTCTACTTAGCAAATTTTATTAAATGGTCATTCAGGCCAGAAGTTTAACTGACAGCTTGTCATTAGCTTATATAAAAATCTGACACCATGCTAAAAATGAATCTAGAATTACCTTTGGGATAAAGGAGCTCTCTTCCGAACCATGTAATGTGTGTGATGATTTGTATTTTGTACTTTGAAAGGAAACTGAGAGTTAATATGTGATTATTCTGTTGGGTGTTGACTTATTCTTGTATTACTTTGAATTCACAAGCTGGAAAGCATCGGACTTTGTGGTAATTGCCAAATATTTTTTGTTGCAATGTGTTCAAATTCTTTTTGAATTATCTGAAAAATACCTCCTGCTAACCCTACCAGATACTTTTTAACCCTTCACACATTCTTATTATGTTTATAGTTTATAACAGTGGTCTCCAAACTGTGGCCCGGGGGTCAGGTGTGGCCCTTTGTTTGCTTTTATCTGGCCCTTGGAGCACTATTTTATTCACTGATACCAATGAAGGGCACAGTTCCTCCCAATTACACCAATGATGGGCCACAATTGCTCCCAAAGACACCAACAGTGGGGCAGAATTCCTCCTAATACCACCAATGATGGGGCACAATTCCTCCCAATGACACCATTGATGGGGCACAATTCCTCCCAATGACACCAATGGACACCAATGAAGGGCACAATTCCTCCCAATGACAGCAATAATGGGGCACAATTCCTCCTGATGACACCAATGATGGGACATAGTTCCTCCCATGGACACCCATGATGGGAGATTGTTTACTCCCACTGATACTGGGACATTTTGTACTCTTAATGGTCACAGTCCACCCCCCCCCCCCAAAAAAAAAAAAATTCTGAAGGACATTAAACTGTCCCTTTGCTTAGAAAGTTTGGAGACCCCTGGTTTAAGGTTTACAAAAAGATACAGGTCTAACGAGTTCAGCCTATATATGTGTGTGTGTTTGTGTGTGTGTGGGGATGGACTGACCATTTGGAAACTCGGGCACTGCATTCGAGGGCCCGGGGTCAGTAGGGGGCCCCATGAGATGCCCCTGGTACCTTTTTCATAGGCTTTTTTGAGTTTGGCAAGGACCCAGGGGCCCCATGATCCCCTAATGCCCGGGGGCCCCATGAGTTGTCAGTCCACCCATGTGTGTGTGTGTGTGTGATATGTTTATTCTCCAACAATTTTCATAGCCCTGCTCCTGAGGAAGACATCTAAAATATTTTTTTTTACATTGTTGACACTCTCAGCCAATATGACTTCCTGGGGGAAGGAGTTCCACATTTTTACTGCTCTAACTGGAAAAGCCCTTTCTGCCACCCAAGGTGAAACCTCCGTTCTTTTAACCACTTGCGCTCTGGAAGGTTTTACCTCCTTCATGGCTAGGGCATTTTTTTGCTAATAAGCACTGTGTTACTTTAACTGGCAATTGTGCAGTCGTGCAACATCCAACTGAAGTTTATAATTTTTTTTACACAAATAGAGCTTTCTTTTGGTGGTATTTGATCATCACTGGGTTTTTATTTTTTATTATATAAAGGAAAAAAGACTGAGAATTTTGGAAAAAAACAATATGTTCCACTTTCTGTTGTAAAACATATCTAATTAAAAAAATCTGTGTTAATTAATTGGTTTATGCAAAAGTTGTTGTGTCAACAAACTATGGTATATATACAGGAATTTACACATCTATGATGTTATACTGGTAATGGCGGTGATCAGCAACTTATAGTGGGCAATCTGGTGTTAGCTGACACTGGCTTGAAGGTACACTAACTGACTGACACTGACATCAATAGTGACACAAATACAGTGATCAGTGCTAAATTTGTACACTGTCACTGTACTAATGACATTGGCTGGAAAGGGGTTAACATCTAGCGGCAATCAAGGGGTTAATTGCGTACCTAACAATGTGTAATGTGTGTAATATGTGCTGCTTTTACTTTACAGTATGGCTGTTTTTCTTCCTGCATCGCGGGAATAAGAAACAGCCAGATTGCTGTTCCTTGTGTTTTTGTAAACACAGAACTCGGTGTGTGATTGGTCACAGTCGATCAGCTGACTTCAGCCAAAATCATTGGCTGAAATCAGCTGCCAAACTTGTGCTGTGTCTAATCACAGCAGGGGTCGGCATGGAACACGCATGGGCTTGCCTGCAGACCTGAAAGCAGGCAGATATGTATGTATATATATATATATATATATATATATATATATATCTCCTCACTGGCCACTTTATTAGGTCCACCTTGCTAGTACCGGGTTGGACCCCCTTTTGCCTTCAGAACTGCCTTAATTCTTCATGGCATAGATCCAACAAGGTGTTCCTCAGAGATTTTGGTCCATAAAGATATACGTTTTTGTTGCCTTTCTATCATCTCAAACCAGTCTGCCCTTTCTCTCTGACCTCTGACATCAAAAAGGCATTTTCATCCACACAATTGCCACTCACTAGATATTTTCTTTTTTTCTGACCATTCTCTGTAAACCCTAGAGATGGCTGTGCATGAAAATCCCAGTAGATCAGCAGTTTTTGAAATACTCAGACCAACCTATCTGGCACCATCAACCATGCCATGTTCGAAGTCACTTCGATCCCCTTCTGATGCTCGGTTTGGACTTCAGCAAATCCTCTTCATCACGTCTAGATGCCTAAATGCATTGAGTTGCTGCCATGTGATTGGCTGATTAGCAATTTGTGTTACCAAGCAATTGAATC